ATATTATACATAAAATATGTATATAGACGTAATATACTCATATGATTAACTGTCATTATATATATTGACTTTTTCAAGATCAAAACATGTTTTTGTCTGAGAACGCGTGGTTCCAAAATAAAGTTAGGAAAAGAAATATCCATATGAATATGTAGCAAAGAAGAAACAATATGTACAAATGAACAAATTTCAAGTTGGGTGGCCATTTTAATTTATTGTTCATATATTTTTATGAATTAATTTTTTTATTAAAAAATCAAGCAGATTGAGTATGAACTGAGAAGTCCATGGATTGCTCGGTTGGATCATCTTGAACACAGAATGTGGATTGAACAGAAAGATTCGAACGCTTGCTGGATGGGCAAGGCATCCTTTCATAGGTTTGGATCTTTCTCTCTTGTCTTTACAGATAAATACATGCATAAATATATTTATGAACGTAAATTTATGGGTATTACTAATGTTATAAATAATAATTGCTAAAAACAGGTTATCAAATCTTCAAAACAACAAGCTTATCCAACTCGCTACAAAAAACTTCGAGTATCGACAATCGATATTCAAAAATGAACTCGATCATCATCTAAAAGGGTAAATAAATATCACAAAATATCTATGTATTTACTCAAATATATATTCAATTATTACCCCCAAAATAATATTTTTCTTTACTGGCGGTTTCAATTGTCGTGAAAAAGGTGGACAACAAAGTGGGGATTTGATAAAATGAGATTTGCTCGGGAGAAAACCACAGATTGCTACTTCGCTTTTGCGGCCTCCAATGCGCTAGACCATTACTCCAATGTACGAATCATTCTTACCAAGGCAGCAATCCTCATCACAGTTGCCGACGATTTTTTTGACATGGAAGGTTCTTTACATGACTTGCAAATCCTTGCTGATGCAGTTCAAAGGTGTATATATATATATATATATGTATGAATTAATTTTTTAAGAAATATTTTTGGGTTGATTAAATTGAAATAATAACATTATTATACATTATAAAATTCCAGATGGGATTCTAATGGCTTGACTGGCCACAGCAAGAAAATCTTCAATGCACTTGATGATCTTGTTACAGATTTTGCAGCAAAATATCTCCAATACCAAGGGATTGATATAACCAACCATGTCCGGGATCTAGTAAGATTTAGTTTCTATGAACATATATAAATTTATGAGAATATTTTGTTTTTGACATGCCACATTTTATTGGCTAGTGGAGAGAAACATTCATGTCATGGCTGACAGAAGCTACATGGAGCAAGACCGGATGTGTACCATCCATGGATGAATACCTGCAAACTGGCATGATTTCCATTGCTGCACACACTTTAGTTCTTCCAGCTGCATGCTTCTTGAATCCAAGCTTACCTAATGAAATATTCAAGTCATTCTCTTATGAATATCAGACTCTTACCAAGTTAGTCATGTTGATATGTCGTTTGTTGAATGATACTCAAAGCTATCAGGTAATTGACTAATTAATGGGTTAATCACTATAATATACATATACATAGATATATAGTTCCAGAAGCATTATAATGTCTACTAATGGAGCTTACACCATTGCAGAAAGAACAGGAGCAAGGCAAGTTAAATTCAGTGTTGCTCCATATGAGAGAGAATCCAGATGTTAAGATTGAAGACTCTGTGGCATATGTTAAAGATATAATTGATAAAAAGAGCAAAGAGTTACTTGAGCATGTTTTAATGGACGATCTAAGTGACATGCCTAAATCATGCAAGCAACTCCATTTATCGATTTTCAAAGTGTTTCAAATGTTTTTCCACTCCTGCAATCGATTCAATACAGATACGCACATAGACATTCTTCAAGACGTCCAAAAAGCAATTTATCTTCCTCTAGCTGTTCAACCTTCAAAGCCATGGAAGCAGCAGTCTTTTCCTCAACTTCCTCACCATGCGAGTTCTGGATTGAAGAAAGATTATCAGCTAAGAATCAACTCTCGCGTTGCTTCACCCTTCAAACAATACCATAACAGCAGGATAAATATTGTTGCTACGCACCAGATTTCTAAGCCGCCTCTTCAAGTGTTTGCTTATAATAACAAAATGGCCTCTTCAATACAGATTCCTCTGTTTGCTATGTATGTGTGATATAGGCAGTTGTATTATTGGACGTGTTTTTAATATTTTAACATTTTATTAATACATATATAACGTTTATAATAATAGATGGTATGTGTTTAATAACTAAGTAAATTACACATAACGTTTTTGTATGTATATTAATTTCATTTATATGATTGCTCTCTACAGCCTAAACATATAATTACGTAATTATACATAACTGTTGTTGATGGTTGATAGATATATTTCGGATAATAATATTTTGTAGATAATTAATATATTATGTGCACATTTTGGTGAATTTATTATTATATTAATATCATGCATGTGCAGTAATTAAAATTAATTATATCGTTAAAACATATAAAAGCTGATCATTAGTATATTAACAGAATAATTTATTCTTTTAAATGTTATAAGTAATTTTTATGAAAATATTAAATGATTTTTATTATATGATATATAAATTAAAGCTGATAAGATTAAAATGTTTTGAAGGCCTTCTCCTTCTATACTACCTCCAATGGCTACTCATATCGTGAAGAAGGTGGAGAGATTCCATGGAGAAAATCTGAGAAGAAGACAAGTGAATCGCTCGGTTTGAAGCTTGGCACGGCGTGGCCGGCACCTCTAAAGGTGGCAAATGTTAAGCCTTTGTATTCTTGAAACCATCCACTCACCTGCTCCAAAAATCTAATATTTCAAAACTTCATCTCTAATTTGCAAATTAGTTCTTTGATATACATATATAAATATATATATATATAAAAGTATTAAATTATTTCTTAAAATTTAATGTTAATATTTTCTTGGATACAATTAAGTTTTAAAGTTTTATATTTGTTATAAAAATTTAGTTTTCAGCCATTACCTGATTCTCGTGGTACCAGGGTCTCCATGCCATTCTAACGGGTAAACCTAGTGAATTTAAGCTATATCTTTTTTGCCAGTACAGGAACCCTTCCATCTGTATCTCCACTGGCCAACACCATTAAGCATTTGGTCTCCATAAACCTATATATATATATATGTAGAATGTGTAAAGATAGTTACAACATATATTTACCTGTAAACCCATATTCTAACTCCAGCCTCAATAAGTTTCTTGTATGCGGGAAGAACAGAAGTTTTTGAATCTGACCAGTTCTCATATATAGTGGAACTGCAATTGAGGTTTTTTGCGGGTAAATTTCTCATCATTAAAACACACTGCAAATTATTTTTGCACTAATATCTCCTAAT